CAGTAAGTCTTACAGTGTATCTTTAGCAGTAAGTCTTACAGTGTATCTTTGGCAGTAAGTCTTACAGTGTATCTTTGAATGGAGTGATACAGGTGATAGATCTCTGCCTTTCCCTGGTATTCGTGGAATTTGTCCAACATTTCATCATCAGGTTCACCCTGGGCATTTTCTGTGGAAAATATATATATCTAAGTCAGTAAAACTAGAGGTAGAATCCGTTTTCTTTTTTAAAGTCTTTCTAAAATAAAATGGTTTTATCCATCATAGTGGTGGTACGTCTGGTGAGAATTTTTTCCACACTTTCAAAGTACCAGTGATAAATTTTCTGATTTATCTTTGGTTACCTGAGCGGTCTCAACGGCCAATGAGAAAACAAGGTAAATTTCATACGGAGCCAAAGCGCGGGAAAACGCGGGCGACCAAGATTGCACCTGATTGGTTGAGAGAGTGACACAAGTTTTCTGGACCAATCAAAGAGCAAAGAAAAAGCTTTGAAAAAGCCATCTTGGGTTTTACTATCTAAACTCGAGTGAAAATTGCTCGCTTGTTTGGTATTGAGGTACCTTCACCGCTGACCAGGTCCAAACATTGCACTGACAGCTTCCAGAAGTAGTATCCAGCATCGTGATACCTGAGGATGGCAGAGACGCAAATGTCACGCAACATTCTTACAGCTCATATTACAACCACAAAATGTCACTCACAAGGCAACATCGACAAGTGCTCTACTTTTTGTGACACAACGGACACAAGTCATGCGACTTTCAGTGGGCAGCGCGCATTTCAGCTATAATAAGTCACGTTAAGGGACTACTGCAGCATAGTGACACAAAAGACACAAGTCAGGCTACATTCTATGCAGGTCGCAGAACAGCTTCAAAATGTCACGTACACTGCAAAACTGACCTGTGTTCGACGACAGCATTGTGACACAACTGTTCCAGTACTTTGACCGCTTGATCCCTCCGCCCGGCTTTGTGGAAAGCTAAAAATCATAAAGGTAGAAAAAAAAATCAGCCAGTGCTTTAGGTCAATTAGCAGGCGATTGTGAAAGATGTTGCCTTGGCACCCAAGGCAGGGACCTCTTACCTTCCTGAGCTTCGTCAAATCGGTCATTTTCTGCCAACCAGTTTGCATAAGGAACGAATACATCATCCTTCAAAAGGCAAAAGAGGAATATTTCTACGTTTGACCACAATCACATCAGTTCCGCGTTACCAAACAGACACCGACTTCTCTGTCACACCTTAAAACCGCCAGAGCACCTCCAAAGACATTTGTGTAAATCCTTCTTTAACAGACTTTCATATGAACACATAGGGACTAATCCCGAGGAAAAAGAGTCACATTTAGAAGAGCATCTGTTACTTCACAGCATGGGAATATATTCATACATTATAACTAGGAACAAAAAAAGTACTGTGGCGAACCTTAAATTCTGGATGTTTTTCAGCAAGTTCAAACGCCTGAAAACAAATACGTGAAACAGAATAAGTGCAGTCAGTTAATTCATTTAACCCAGCTTTCTACGAGTCAATTGTCGGCGTCTTATCAAGGATTCCAATTTCTTCATCGCTCCAACATCACGTCATTCAGTTCACACACCTTGTCTCAGTAATGTATTTGGCAAGCGTTCCTTTGTTTATGTTGTTGTTGTCGTTGTTTTTTTGTACTGTTTTTTTTTTCGTTTTGTTGTTGTTGTTGTTGTTGTTTTTTTTGTAGACAGGGAAAAGGACAGTTAAATTCAATTAATTCGATCAGAATTTCAAGTCCTAATATGATATGTATGCAGCGGTAGATTTTGTGCTATCTTACTAAATGTAACATTCCTGTTCCACACTGTAAACTGACTGGTTTCACAAATAATGAAATCAGACTTGTGAATAGCCAGTTTTCCTGTAAATAGTGCTCTTTCAGCTGAAACTTTAAGAGCTGCAACTGACACGACGCAGTTGTTTGGAATAATAAATCGGAATCGACAGGAAGAAAGAAAACAAAATTTTTATTTTTCCGTATTTTACTATGTGGAAAGTGTGACGTATGAAGTGTACCTAACGATCTGAAAGCTACACCACTCTGATTACTTTCACAAGATATGTACTTGAGTCTGCCCTACCTCATCCCAATGTTTTGTCTCCACGTGAAGTTCCAACAGCGCTTTGATGTCACCAATCTTCATGTACATCTCTGTCGCATAGCCATGCTGTGTCATAGAAAAACAATACATGCTAAGTAGAACAAGTGCTCTGGGAAGACGTCGATGAGGAAAAGACATTTTTCCTGCAAGTGGTTGGAAAGGGCAATGTCTAGCAGTAGGAACTATCTGGGGAAGGGGTGGGCCAAACCAGTCTCAAATACCCTGATCACCCCTGCCTCACCCGAGAGAAGAACTTATACATGGGCTGTCTTTCCTGTTGCCAAAGCATAATCTAATGACATATCTTGACGATACCTGATCCATTTGTTTGAAGTAATAAGCACATTGTTTAAGTCCCTCGGTGTCTGCTTTGTTCATGTTTCTTCCAAGTTCAAGCAACCTACAAAGCACAGCGACGCAAATCTGAGAGAACGCACACACTTTAACGAAAGTACAAGTAATCACTTGTAAAACCAATCTCACTAAACAAAAGCATTTAAGTATAACGCTGTCCCTAAAAGAGTAAAAACTTACTTCTCGACCCATCCATGTTGTCCAATGATTTCAATGGCTTTGAGGTTTTCGCCAGCAGCAATAAACATGTCCCTGAAATGAGACAAAGAAACAGAAAAACCACATCTGTCACAGGAACTAGTACAACTGTGGCATGTCAAATTTAGGTCCTCTCTGTAGAAGAAAATTGAACGCAAAGAACTAAATGTGCCGGATGCTTTCCAAGAAAAAAAAAAAAATAAGACTTTAGCGAAGTCACCTTGAGCGGTAGTTTTGAAATTGTTAGAAATAATATTCTGATGTTAGAAAAAATTAATACCACTAGGACTCTAAGCTTTTGTCTCTTCGATATTTACTACTTAGTGAAATTTCGTAAGTCTTCTTCATTCTGTTAAAACTTACACAGCAGCTTTGGGGTCATTTGTTGTTTCACACCACTCAGCTTGTTTCCTGATTAGCTGTTTCACATTCTTAGGATCACTGCCGCCAATGAAGTCCTTTGCATATTCAAACTGCCTGAGATCGGTGAACATCTCCATCGCCTGGAAAGTATTTAATTTATTTAGTTAACAATGAGATCGCGTAAATAAACAACTTGCACATGATAGCTTGTTATCCCTCCACCTGTTAAAGATTATACACTCGATCGCTTAAAAATAGATAAATTAATTTAAACCTTCTCTTCATGTCCAGTCTTCTTGTATAGCTTTCCAGCATCGTGAAATTTCCCCTGAAATAAGAGGTTAGAGATTGCGTCAATAAAGAAGTATACTGTTGTAAATGTTTGGGAGTAAATGATAATGGAAAACAGAATGAAATCTACAGTACTCAGTTTCAGGTGAGAGGTGAAGATAAAATCTAAGAGTTGCTTCCACAAAGTTTAGATGGAAATTCACGGTTTCTTTTAGCCGTGCACTTGGATACGAGAGCTGTTCAAAGCTGAGGTAAAGAGGTTTCTGTTATACAAACAGATTTGATTGGTTCTCACATACAATCTGCTAGACCTCAAATACATAATTATACAACATCACCTTTGTATAATACATAAAAGACGATTTCGTGTAACAAAGGAGGTGAAGCTGCAGTGATGACAGTTATTGATACAATTATTGCCTGCAGCCTGTGTTTTTTATTTTGGTTCTTGCCAAATTTTGACATCCTCTCTGATCCATTCATGAGCAGATACACAGCAGAAAGTCTTGAAATTATATTAACCCTTAAACTTCCGAGACTAATAAGTATCTAATTTCATGAGAATAACGGAAATGATCGCAAAATCAAGAAGCTCTTGCTTGTTAGACAAATTCTCCTTGTAAATACCATAGGAAATGTAAAGGGATCATTAAGGAGAATTTGCATTCTGATGATAGGGTGTAAAGGATTAAATTAATTCAACTACAAACCTGATAGGCATAAACATCTGCAAGGAAAGCCTGCTCATCTGTCTCTCCCTTCTTTTTACGTTCCTGTAGAACAAACACGACAAAGAAGAGTAAATTGCTTGTATTTAAGAATTGGAACCAAATATCTATTATAAAATGAACGAATAACTAACCTCAATGTTGTGGATTAATTCTAAGTATCTCAAGTCCCGTACTCTGATAAAGGCCTGAAAGGATCAGGAACAATTTTTAGATATTACATTCAACTGGCAATCATCTCTGCCTGCTACTACAGACTAATTCACAATCATTTAGTTCTAAAGTTTACTTCCTTTCTAAACATCACACTTCAGGATATTTGCTTGAGATCAACTGCCACATTTCGTTAATTAATTAATCAATTAATATAATGCGCAAATTAATGTTTGAATATGATCAAATGCGCATTACAACACTTTCGGGGGACTTTGGCCAGACTGCATCAAGCAGTTTACAATATCAATCAAAGGAAGTTGAAGATGCCCCCTCCCCCCAATTCCCAGTAAACAGGCCAGACCACATCACAGTAATCTCATGAGTGGGTTCTTTAACGTCCCCCGCCAAACCAAATCAACTAATTAATAGATGCAGGAGATGGGACCTACGGTTTATTCGTCCTTATCCGAGAAGACTAGAGTGTCTATCCATTTCTTGATATTATAGAAAGGTAGCACATTCTCCTCAGTTATATTAAGACCTTGAGTGTCGGCCCGGCCAGGGGCTCGAGCCCTCGACCTACCGCTCTAACCAATTGAGCTAACCGGGAGGAAAACAGCACTGTATACAATACCTTTTTAGCTGTATCAAAATCCAGGCCCTAAAAAGATCAAGAAACACATTTAATGAATTTCTTTTCACAAAAATGATGCAATGTAATTATGTATTGTATGTGAATAGCTAAATATTTCACTTTTCCCCCACAAGCAAAATTTACAGTTCAATTTCACCTTGGGAAAGTATTAAGCAGATTAGTGTTATATTCATGTAACTCACCTCCATGGCTTCCATGGCTAGTGCTCTCCAGTCCCCCTCGGTCACACCAAGGCAGGCAACTTTGTATGCATCTCTGGAAACATGTAAAGAAACACAAAGGTGAACTTGCAGATATACTGTGTAAAATACAATTACAATATAGAGCAATTGCACTAAAAGCCAGTGATCCTGTAATTCCAGGAAACAGAATTGAGCCATCATTTCCACAAGAGCACACCCCAATCAATCTGCCATCCTCATCTCCAGACTCCCAGGATTGCACATATGCCACAAAATTTGCCTATTAAATCCCCACATTACCTATTCACATATCCATAGGTGAAAAAGCCAGACTTGAGGATCTAAAAGAGGTAACTTAATTTTCATATATGATGAATAAACAAAAGGATTCTTTCATTGAATTAGCATCCCTGAATTTTTACAATTTTTTGAGAATACCTGTACAGTTTCTTTTCCAAGTACTGATACATTGGAGCTGACTAATGCAAAGAAAGAAAAAAAATTTAACATGAGCCTTTGTCTGTAGATATCTACCTTACTGGTACAATCAATAACACAAGCCCATCCCAAAATTTATTTCTTTTGTTCAAAACATGGGTTTAGTGGTTTTCAATCGACAAGATAGTTTCTTAGAATATGTTTTCCAATAAGAGGTTCTCTCGTGACGTTTTTAAGTGAACATGATTAAGATGTTGAAGATAGTTGTACTGGTAGAGGTTTTTTTTATAGAACTGTTTCAAGGACTTAATGACTAGAAGGGAAATAGTTAAGGGAGGGCATGGTTTATCATGATAATCACTGTTGTATCATGACACCTTACATGTGGCACTTCAACAGCAGACATGGTGTACACATGAAGACAGAAGATCTTGGATCCAGTAAAACCAACTACAAAACCCTAGCAGTGGAAAAAAAACATCACATGAGAATGACTTCAACAAAAAGAGCCCTGAACAAATTCTGGAAAATTTGAGATCACATTCACGTACAGCTGTACCTTAAATCAAACATAATTAACACAGGTACTTTCTGAGAACAGTGCAATGAAAAGGAAGGTCTTGCAAAATATTTCACAAACCTGTAGTTTTTGTTGATGTACAGGAAAGTTGCTGGCCTTGATGTTCAGCATGCCACCACCAGAAAAACACAGCATGTCCTTGAGAAAAAGAAAAAAAAAACATACATTGACAGTGAAGATCAGAACTAGTGTTTGGAAAGATATACAAGTAATTGTCTAAAATATTTTCTTGATTGCTCAAATAAAATGTATGTTGCTAAAGAGAAGATAAGGCTGGGTGTGAACTTTTTTCTTCATCTGCTGAATCTTGAATTGACAACTGAATAAGTTGGTCAAGAGAACAAAGATTTTGCCAACTACTGGTTCTTATTTACATACTACACAAGTTTTACATAACATCATGCTATATGTAACATGAAAAATATAGAGTATGTGGATGGTGTGATAATTCACAGCATCCTCTGTCAGGCTAAAGAATGTTTAAAATCAGAGCTTTGTTTTAAAATCTACTATAAATTACCTCATTGTGGGTATTCCAAGAAACACTGTTAGCATTTGGCTCCTGAGAGAGAAAGACAACAAATACTTTGAATCAGTCAACAGAGTTGTTCTGAAATTTTTCCTGACCATCAAAGATTCACAAGGACAAAAAGCCTTCAGGTGATTTCTCGCTCAGACAAGCAACATAAGACTTCTTTCTCACTAGCTAACTCACTAAGAAAACATTGGACTTGCCACATTTCTATCCAATTAAAAAGGGGTTTTCCTGGCCAGGAAATTACCATGGTCAATTAATACTTTAAGGAGAATAGTGTACCTGGTAGAGAAGCTCGTTGTTTTTGAGGCTATACACAAGACAGGTACTGTTTTCATCCACCACGGCTAACTTGGTACGACTAAAAGCAATGATATAAGATGATAAGGTTAAAATTCATATAATAGTCAAATATAGAAACCAGATCATGGTCTAGTTGGATAAGATTTATAATTCATAAGTCTCTTGAGACTAAAAGGCTGAGATCAAGGATAGTTTTTGTTTCAATCTGCAACTCACCTTGAACTTAAGTCCAGACAACGAACACTTGTCTCTTGTTTCAACAACAACAGCGGGAAAGGATTGTTAATAAATATTTTCATTATCTAGGAAAAAAAAATTTAAGGATTATCATGAGCTGTCTAGAGTCATCAGAGGGGATATGTTGAGGTATGAAAGAGCACAGTGGCCAAGAATTAAATGCTTAAAAAAACTCTCACATCTGAGATTACATGTTGTTCCACCATCTGGTTATCCTCACATCTTCAGCAAATTTTTCACAGTTTATAACTTTGATTATGTATGCAATTTCCATTGATATTCTAAACCAGAGGGACACACTCTGAGGGCCACATCTCTCAGCTAAAATCCCAACACAGTTCGAGACCTGCAGTGCCCACAGATTTAACACTCAAGCCTGGTTACTGTAAACACTGACATATAAGCCACATTTTTTCCCCAAAGTTTTTGTAGCAAATAAGGGGTATAGCTTATCTGCAAGAACATCTGGGAAACATGCAGCAAATTTGCAAAAATCAACACTGTTTATCAAACATTTATAGGTCTGACAGTACATTACTCTAAGAACTTCTCAAAAGTTTACTAGGATAAGAATTGACCATTGTTTTAGCAAGTTTAGTGGCTCCTGAGAGGCCCATTTATGTCCATAGGCATAAGCTCTTAATATATTACTTGCTGATGAGTGGCATTAATTGAACCTTCTTCATTAAGAATAAAGGCTGATAGTTTCTAAAGAAACTGTTAGGGGCTGTGTCGGTGGGGGTAACGAAATAATTTGGATATATCAACAGAGTTGAAATGGTAAATTGGCCACCGTAACGATTACAAAAGCTGACGCTTTGAGCATTAGTCCTTCGTCAGAGCAAAGGGCAAAGGGCTTGCTCCAATGAAGGGCTAGCGCTAGAAACGTCAGCTTTTGTAATCATTACGGTGGCCAATTTACCATTTCAACTTTGTTGATATATCCAAATTACTTCTTCATTAAGAGACCTTTTAACTTGGTTAATTAAGGTTCCCTTAGCTTTCTAATTACTATACCTGGCCATTTTTTAAGCCAACTAGGAGACCTTCTCGTCCTGATGGACCACCAATCACTTTGATGTAACGTATTAGTGAATCCATCACCCATTCCCTGAAGTTAGGACACAAATGATTGAAATAAGTGCAACTATATCACACACACCTTACATGAAACCAATAATTTTAAGTCGTATTTACTTACTTTCTTCTCATTAAAATACAATTATAATACTTGACAAACATGTTAATTTTGTATTGTTAAGACTTGACACTGGTTAAAATTAAAACTATTTTTTGTTGTCAAAAAATGTCCTCAAAATGGCCATTTTTACAGCCAAATCACATTTCCCTGCTGAAGACAGGTGCCATCTATTTTTTTATTTTTTTTTATTTATTCCATTTCACTGCAATTACATGGGAAAATAAAACAAAAGAACACACAATAATAACAAATTAGGTTACATAACAAGGCAGTGGGGAAGACTAGAAGGGAACTGACGAACCATACGTGCTAGTCAACCCATTATGAAGAAAATATACGGATATATAAAAAACTTAATCAAGGTATGTAACTGGCTAGCTGCTAACTACCTAACTGAGTAATCTAACTAACTTACTAACTAACAACCTTACTAACTAAGTGCTGGTTTAGCCCAGGTGGTACATGGGTGCTCAGGGTCGAAAACCCTATCGTTATAAAAATTAGTGCATAGTCTCTTAAAAGAAGAAACACTACAGCTAGCCGTCCTCAACGCATCAGGCAGATTGTTCCATAGATACGGAATCCTATTAAAAAATGTTCCCTTAAAAAGTTCCGTCCTGAATCTATTAATTCTTAGTTTATTACTTGCATGCGATCTTAATCTCTCATCTGAACAAAATTGAAAATACGACTTAAGTGAAGAGTTAAAATGCCCGCACTTCAGTTTATAAAAAGTTGAAAGATCCTTGACTTCTCTGCGGTAAACCAGTGGTAGCAGGTTGAGACGTTTTAGGCGTTCATTATAGCTAAAATCGGGTAACATAAGCCGAGTCGCACGTCGTTGCACCCCTTCTATTCTTTTTATCATAGTAATTGATTTTGGGCTCACCTTGACTTCTCTGCAGTAAACAAGATCCATTCTGTAGTTGCAAATTATGGGGCTTCCGCACCATAAGATCTTATGCTGACTGTGCTTTGCTACAAGACGAAATTGACAAGCTGGTTGACTGGAGTAACAACTGGAAGCTGGCCTTCAATGTTGACAAATGCTCACTTTGCACAGTAACACGGCGTGATCTATTCTTGAATGCCTCAAATACTAATGGTAACAACTACTGATATTGTTTCTAATAAATGATTAAACTTGCCTCTCTTTGATTCCAGTAAATGCTAAGCACTGGAGTCTTCTCTCCTGAGAATTTAAGAAAATAAATATATGAATTTCCTTTTCACTTTACCAGAGTACATCAGATAACATAACATAACATAACATACATGTTTATTCAAACTCATATATTACAACTACATAAATTTGAAAGGGAGAGTCAAGAGGTTAACCCTATGAATAAAACTCTCCTAAAAACTATACAACAAACAAAAAAAATTAACAAATTTATAGCTTTAAAAAGGATTTAAGTTTACATTTAAAAATTTCTAGGCTACAGGCTTCAACAACATTACTAGGTAAATTATTCCAATGACTAATTACATTGTTAAAAAAAGAATATTATTTTGAAACAGTTAATTCTAGAGAGAGAGAAAACCTCTGACTTTGCAACTGTTCTTTTCCACACTTACTACACCAAGATGCTCCCACTAGCACTTCACGTTCAACTGTTCCTCCCTGATACAACCCATTTAAAGTAGAGAAACAATGCTAGTTTTGGTAATTAGCCGATAATTGTAAAATTACGCTGAAAGGCTTTTTACCTGGCAAAGAATGATGTGATTGGAGCAGGCAACTAGCAGGTTGCATTCAAATTTGCGCTCAATCTTTTCCTGAAAAGAAAAATGCATGAAGTTATTAAATGAAACATATAGGACCTAATACTGGCAGTATGCAACAGGCAAATTTGAAATTGTTATCAATTTTATTTGCCCCATGTTTTCTACTGTTAAATCAATTTTTAAATAATTATGTGACGTACAATGCATGTCTCCTTATTTATGGTCTGTTCAGATACAGTTGTCCTGTTACGTCAGAGTACACGTAAGTGTAAATGGCAACATTTTGGACATACTCTAGTCCTCAGACATTGCACCTCAAGTACAAAAATGTTAAACTGAGGACAGTATCTTTGCCACATGCATTCTGGATTAAGCAGAAGTGCTATACTCACTGCCACTAATTTGTGATCACAATAAAAGTAAGTTTTCCAAGTTTTTAATACTATCGTCTCATCTTTAATCAGAATTAAATAAATATCTATAAAATATATGCATACCTAAAAAGTTTTCACCTACCTTGACTTTATAGTGCATATCAGAAATTTCATCAGTGTTCAACTCATAGATCACTATTTTGTCAGGCAGTTGAACCTAGGAAAGATGAAAAAAAAAGGGACACATGATCATCAATCATTACTCATTTTTTTTAAGAACTTCAAAAAATGACCCAAACAACTGGAGTAGTAAACTGAAAGATACTCACAGCAAGTCTGTGTCGGTAGATAGCAATCTTCTTGACTAAGTCTCGACACTTGATACGAACTGTAGCAAAAGAAACCATTCCATATAAATTGATCACAGTCACATGTAGTTTATTGGGGCTTTTAAGATTGTACAATTTTGAGTTCAAAATTTAAGAGCACTATAAAACATGTGGCATTATAAAACATCTGCCAACAAAAAAAAAACTGTAAAAAAAGAAAAAAAAAACTCTTTGGAAAACTGGAACACTGTATATCAGAGGAAAATGTCTCAGGCTGTATATACATGCATTTTCCAAAATGAACTTTTAACAAAGTAAGTAAACTTTTAAGGGCCACTGAGAAATTTGAAGTAAAAACTTTTTGACTGACTGTACTTTGACTTCAAAATAGGTTTACCATTGACATTTAACAACATTATACACCAAACTGAGGGAATTTATCATGATTTTTCCCTGAAAAGTAATCCATCAATTTTCAATTTGCTTATGATAATTAATCCTTAATTTACCTTTCTGCTCTGTTATCAAATGCTGAATAATAACATCAGTCATGTTGTCTCTAAAGGCATATCTGAACATCACAAAAGAAGTAATTTATTTCAACAAATATTGTTCAACTGCAATAAATCACAAATTATATAATAATCAATATCATCAAAAATTATGTAAAAGCTATTTTTACTGTCATTACTCATTTCAAGTCCAAGGACATTGGAAAAGCACCTCACAAATGATACTTTAATAGAGACTTCAACTGTATGGACAAGAAGCTAGAGTCACTCTAGGCTATCACCCTGCGTGACTGTTACATTTCCTTCTTGCTTACCTCTCACATGCCTCAATAACTCAATGCGGTGTTTACCATTAATTTTTGTTAAATACAGTCCAAGTTCAATTTATTGTTGATTTTCACTCTTGCTGCAATAGTTTTAGCTGTAATGACTGACATTTAGAATTTGTCCAATAACTGAATCATAAGAAGAAAGAAACTGATAGTCACTGTCTGGGAATTAATTGCCACTTTCTTTAAAACCTTCTAAAAACTTAGGAAATTTTAGTGAGCTGTATATTATGGTTAATGATTTACTGTTTGCTTCACCTTGCAGCAACTTTGCTCTTCCTGACAAAAGTATTTGTATTTTTAAATTAATACAGAACTTTGTTGTTCAGAGCTTTTGGGCTTAACATGTACAGTTAATGCAATACGGTAAACAAAATGCCTGGTAAATCTCAGTCTTGTTTGCTTTTTTAATCGTTTTTACCACTGACACTACAATCATGACAGATACCCACCTGTCCTTGTACAAGCCATGGACAGTGCTGAAGATCAGTTGATAATACGCTATTGTACCATCTTGACATCCCAGTGCCTACAATATAAATATATTATCTATTCATTTTCCTATTTAAATCTTCATATTTTTTAACTTCCATTTGTCAAAATCAGAACACAAAGTCATCTTTATTACTGCAATTTCTCTTACCACATAGTTGGAATCAGGCCTGACTCTGCAACACCAAACCCAACTCTGATGCTCTCCCACTGATGTGAGAGCCACCCCTTCTTTTGTGTGAAGAGTGCACTACAAGACCAAAAAAAAAAAATAAAGCTCATTGTAAAAGAATTGTTCCAAGACAGCACTACTGTAAGTATTTTTCTCAATGCCATGTACAAAACATTTTCACAAGACATTGCAACAGCCACATTGGTGTACCAAAACAATGAAAAACCCTGATGTCAATGTGCTATAAATTATGCTCAATCAATTCAGTGAGGATAGATAAATGCTTCCATAGTTTCAGTAAACAATTATGACAGCTGGTCATTAAACACTTCCTTAAAAAAGCTCTACACTATAAGTGTTAACAATCGTGACGGATTATAATGCAAAAGAGATCAACTGATTCAAAGTCTAAGGAAGACACAATTTTCTGTCAAGATCATCAGTTACCAGTACCATTAATAATAGCTGTTGACTTGTTTCTTAATTTAATTAGGGGACTTTTAATAATGATTTCCTTTAATAAAACAGTAGCCGAAAGAAATTTAATTTCCATTTTTTTGAACTCACTTTTTTGTCAGATCCTCCAATAACAAGGTATTCACCCTTAGAGAAAAAGCTCAAACAGCAAGGGTCATACCCAAGATGACGATCCTTTCCAACCTGCAACAAAACAAAATGCACTCATGATACTTCTCCTTACTGGTTATTGGAAATTTCTCTTTCTTCTCATTCTGGTTATGTCTAGGCCAAAGCTTGAATTCAGACCTATTTCAGTGGGGTAGTCATGAACACCGGCATATACACCACACGTTTTCCTTGCACATTTAAATAAACAACCACAATTAAGCAACTTTTATGAGAATCCACTTGTGATTTCTCTTGACCTCTTTCTAAAAGATTTTTTACCAAAATGTGTGATACCAAACTCAAAGTGCCGTTTATCTGTGATTGAAAACTAATTTCTTCCAACATTATCATGCACACCTTAATTTCGCTCCCTTAGAAAAATAAGATGGGAAGTACCAGCCAAGTACCTGTTTTCCACTGAGCTGATAAAAAGAAAGCTTCTGAGACCAATCACCAACCGCTAGAATGTCATAAGGTTCTTCTCTATTTATAAAAAACAGAACATGTATACTGTTCCTCAGTACTTAGCAGAAGAGGTGATGATGATGATGATGGATGACTCAGCAATACCTCTCTATGCCTTTAGATGACCCTGTGTTCTTTAATTAGAAAACTGAAAATTGATATGTGTCTAAAGGTTGGAGTTGGACTTACTTGGATGGATTCCAGCTCAGTGTCCAGACAGGAGATCCCCCTGGCCTCTCAATCTTCACTTTTTCTTCACCACCCTGGTCAAAGGAATCATGATTTATAAACACTCTGTTAGTTTTTGCCCCTAGAGGCCTGGAACCCAAGGAGACACTTTAGAAACCCCTGCACATAAGGAAAAAATTTAATAATACATAACATATGATTGATAGAATAATACACGGAAAAAAGCTCAAACTGTTCTAAGTGTGGTGTGTTTTGTGTTGAGAGTTTAGCTTGTGAAAAGTAATGCCTCTTTGTCATAATTGCTATACCTACAAGTGATTGTGTTCCTGCATGCCGTCAAAAAGGACTGAAGTCTTTTTCTGGGAAGAAGTTTTAGTTTTTCTGAGTTTTCCCCATTTTCTCTGAGGAGGCAACTCAACCCAGGCCAACTGAGTAGTGCTCGATGTTTGCATCTGGTGTACTCAAACCATTTTACAACAGCATGCATATGTAAGAATTAAGCCAGTGTCCATTGACANATGGACTGGTTAGGGTGACATAAACTGCTTCTCTATTGTGTGAATTTTGATTTTGGATTATAGTTTTGGGCCTGTTAAGTTACCAAGATATTTGAGAAATGGGCCCCTAGACTGATTGTTGTGTTTTGTTTTCAGGTACACCTTGCTCTCAAAGTGCCTTTCTCCACCCAAGTGTGTAGATCAAATGCTTTTATGATAGGGAACTCATAACCACTGATGAACATACAGTCATATAGATCCCATCCAGGAGAAGAATCAGTTGTTCTGGTCCCTGAAAGTTCAGCAAATAGGGATACCCTGCACAACTATGAGCTTTTTGTTTTGTTTTGTGCAAGACTTCACCATTTTATAGTCAATAAGGAACAGAGAGAAAAAGATGGATAATTTGATCCCTAGTAGGCACCAGGATGTAACAGTTACACATAAGTATTGAGCAGTTGGATTGGAAAAATTCTACACTCACCAAAATCATTTGTTGTACAACTTGCAAGTTGCTGAGTGAGTGGATTGTAAGCAAGGCACTGGATAGAGTCATTATGTCTGCAACATTTCATACCATTTAAATATTGATAGCAAGAATTTAAATCTCTAGTTTATAGTTGCAGCCTCTCAATATTATAACATATCAATTACTTTCTTTTTAATTAGAAGGCTGTCAAATTAATGACTGTCACTACCTAACTTTTAATCAGACAGCTATGGGTGGGAGAGAGCTAACATAGGACAATAAAATGTTAAAAGTACACCACTCAGACACCAGTTAAATACTAGACAAGGACAACATCATCATTTGAGCTCTCAGCACCAGTCCCCTCTCCCTCACCTTTCCTGTACAAAAAACAATTTGAAAGGTTTTCAATCATTGCTGCACTAAGGAAAGGAAGCAGTGGACAGTGAAAGAGCATAAGTACACCTACACAAACACACACACAAAATAATTTTATATATCACAAGACTCTTTCCTTCTTATGACTTCTGGTGGGTATTTGTCTATCACTACCTTTAGCTCAGTTCATACTTACTAGGCTCTTAATATAGCACTTATCAGAAATGATGATCACTTACGTATATTTAAGAATACCCTCTAATTTTGATGTCCAGATGATGACACTTTTGTCAGCTCCTCCAGATGCAAATCTTTTTCCTGTAATAGTAGCGCAAATGTGTTATCAGGACTCAACACTAACAGTAGCCCTCTAGCCACAGACTAGTAGAAATTCAGTTTTGGCCAGTGGTTTTCAATTCCCACAAGCCAGTTTGGCTAGTAAACAGACTGAAATTGTCGTAACATCTAAAAACATCTAAGATGTCACTAGCCACTCGGCCAGTAAGTTGAAAAGTTAGTGTCGAGCCCTGGTTATAACGTATTCTACAACACCTATCAACAGTAAACAAGACTTCAGTAATACTTAAGGGTTTCTAAAATTGTCGTTTAGAAATTAGACTACCAGCTGAAACTTCAAATGAGGCAGCAGCTCAAAGATAGCATTTGATATTGAAAGATCGCTAGTGTGGACTGTAGCTAGTCTGTTGTGGTTTATAGAACAACCGCCCACCAAAAAACTAGCCAAAAATTGCCACTTTTTCATTTGCCAAATGTTGCTGGCAGCCAGCACTTAGACAACCCTGGGTTCCAGAGGCTTCTTGGGAAAAATTGAATTAATTGCTCCTAAGTTAGCTCTTAAGTATAATTTGAAATGAAGAGTTAATGGTTTCTGACCCACAAAAATGTGCATCTTTCCAGCACACAGTTATAAAACCAAGAGCTCAGTTTGGAGTGTGTGAGATATGTGAAAAGAAAACAGCCAATCTTGGCAGCAAGATTGTTTATACTATTGATAAAGTTGGAGAGACTCAACAACTTCGACAGGTCCTACCTTGGAGAAGGAAAGAACATTAGAGCAAGCTTTCAACACAACACACATCAAGTGAGTGTTGCAATTAATTTTGCTGAGATGACTGGAGATTACCATTCAACAAAAATGCATTACTACTCTCTGAGCAAGTGTTGTTTGAACATAATTTACAAACACATGGTCTCTTGGCTCGCAATTCATTAGACTGCTTGACATATATCATGTTTCCTGTATTTGTTTAGCAAGTATAGCTATATCTGCCTTAATGATCGGTAAAATACCTTGTATCAAAAGTGTTGAGTAAAGAGAGGATATTCAGATACTGATGTTGAAGATTATAGGGTGTCAGGTGTACATGACTAATGTACATGCTATGTGTGCAAATGTAAAGGAGATAAACACTGTATCAAACTGTTCCCATTTTTTTTGGGGGGGGGGGAATACGGGCGAAATGTGATGGAGAAAACTCGGCATCTGCAAGATTTTGTGTAATTTATTAAAAAACAGCTTGAATCTATGACGTGTTTGTCACAATTTTACCCTGCTTATATCTAATCTGCCCTAATCTGCCCTTGCTCACCATAGAGTCTCCTGTAGCTCAGTGGTTAGAGCATCCGACTAGATCACGGAGGGTCGTGGGTTCAAATCCCATCCGGAAACTCGATTTTTTTAAATTATATCTAATCGCCCTTTTAATTAATTGCGATTTCAGAAGAATATTTCTTAATTTCTCTACAACTTACTTCTATAGTTTATATTTCGAAAAACAGATCGATTTATCGAAAATAAGTTAGCTATTTTGCCGAATTAAAAACATAAACATCAGACATACCATCTCTGGAGTATGCAACACAATACACGGTTTCCTTGTGACCTTTGAGCGGTTGAATAAGTGTCCCATCGTTTGTATCATAAACCTAAGAAGATTTTCCGTAAACGTCACGAAAATATTCAGAATCGAGATTAAATTCAAATATGAAGACGTAGATTACCAAAACACGGTTTCCAGCGGCAACGATGAGTTGACTTCCATCGGGTTTGAATGCAAGGTCGTAAATGCTGCCGTTCGAAAACACTCACGATCAGAATTGACACAGAATAAAATAATGATGTAAGCAGATGTAGTAATTCTTACCACTGCTCAACTCTGTCCTTGTCGTGGACTTTATCGACCCAAGTTGGTAACGCTCTCATTTTGCACGAAGAAAAACATTAACATGTTTATTTCCGTAAGGAACCATGGGATGGAAAAGCTCGCAGGGTATCATGGGATTCTAAGTGAAACGCACTGGCGGGGAATGGCGGGAGTTAAGGTTCCTTTCCATTCTTTTATACCGTAAATATATATTTGGGATTATTAATGGGATTTTAAGAAATGAAATCAGTCTAAATAGTCTAATTAGGTTATTTTTCCGTAAACCTGGGTCAAAGTGTTATACATTTCGTGGGTCACGCCGAACACCCTTAGCACAGCGACCTCCCAAGCGGGAAATAACATATATGTATTTCGTCAAACAGTTCATGTGAGATACCATTTAACTTAATGAAGTCATGAGTTTGATATCGATGTAGAGGGAATAAGTCAGCATCGTACTCAGTATCACATAGATTTGAAAATAAAAGGTTATTTTCAGTAGACTGCGTTTATATCGATCGTCGACTATTCAGTTAATGCAACAAATGGGTACTGTTTGTCATGGATTTTCATGTCATGCGCATGTTAAGCAGCTCTTTGTTGGAAAGTTAAGTATCCAGATGTTCTTCAACTGCAATTTAGACTTGGTATCGGTATTGCTGAAGAGCCCAATGAAAGATTCTGCCGATGTTTTGTCGCGCATAATGGTTAACATACAAACCACCTGTCTCTGGGAATAAGTGGGCACTTTTTTTCACGTTCTAAGATTTCCTCAACGCTGTACTTAAAAAGGTTGGCTGGTAAGGGACCAAGAGGAGAGCTTCTGGCGACGCCAACGGTTTTTTGTATATATAGATGACTGAAGGAAGTAAGTTGCTAAAGAAACTGTGGTGCTGTGTCGGTGGGGGATATATTACAAGATAATTTGGTTTTGTCAACTGAGCGCGAGAGTGAAGATGTAAACTGACCAACGTGAGAGTTTTAAAGCTGAAGTCCCGAGCCGTTTAGCCCCGCGTCAGAGAAAAACTGTATGTTTCCATAGTTGATCACTGAATTAGTAAAGTTAATCCTATGTTGACGGTTTACTCATTTAAATAGCTTTTTTCAGCAAGTAAGTATTTGTTTTCTTCCTAATAAGCTATGTTGATAAACAATGATGAAACATCGTAAGAAACCAAGATCGGTGATCATTGCACGGACTCCATTGACGAATTCGATTGTGTACATCATTATCCTGTATCAAGAATAGTTCGTAAATGAAGTCCATATCAACTTTTGTTTTCAAAATGGCGTATTACACTGTAGCGGAGCTCGCAACGCGCGCAGCGAATCCCCATACCTATCAAAAATGGTAGTAATTATAATAAGCCATCTCTGATCTAAAACACTCTCGTAAAACGATAATCTTGAGGTAAGCGGGCTGGACCTTTGTACCCAGGAGTTTATAAATGAGTATCAGTAAACCCTCAGGGAAACAGCCAAAATAATTGGTGAAAAAACAGCGATGGACTAACGTTAACGTTGCATCCAGGGGGACTGGCAGCGATTCTCCTGGTTTCTTCATGCTATGGAAACCGAGATAAGCTTCGATGATGTGCACCACTTGGACTGTAGGCAGATATAAATGGTGGAGCCACTCAAAATTTTAATCTGTAATTTTTATCTCTTTTACGTGCTAGTCTGCAAAGTAAACGTTTGTTTGCATTATGTTTTCAGTCGAGCGAAAGCAAGCGCGATGCGAGCGCGAAAAGCAAATCCTCTCACGATCGACTCACGTTTCGTGCTCGCGCGAAAAAGTCATGCGCTAGAATTTAAGAAAATCACACCTGTACTGTAGACTTGAAATTCCGTCCTGGATTAGTGTGGATTTTAAAGACCAAGCCTGGGAACGGGCGCGAATTTGGAGAACCACGAACCAGACCCTGCCCCCGTCAGTTTAGAACTAAATCAGAGACTTTTGTGGACATATCTTACCTGAACTTTCGTAGGCCAGGCAATACACTGTATCTCTGTGTCCTTTTAACATATCAAGCAGCACGCCCTGGGCTGTATCGTAGACCTAAAAGTAGGAAAGGATGCAACCATTAGTCCAGTTTTGCGCTTAAGGTGAGATGAGATTCCAAGTTATAAAAGACAAGAGAGTAAATTAAAACGTGGTAAAAGTGAGGGAGTATATTATGCGCGCATCCTGGAGAATACTTCTTTCATTGTTCATGACTCAAAAACTTACAGTTGATGTTCTGAGTGGTCGACGGTTGCAAACATAAGGTAAGGGATCAGTCATTATTTGTCGCCTAGAGGGGGGGATTTTTAGGGGACAAATGGTTTTCAGGGGGGCTGAGGGGGTCGGGGATCAGTTGTCGTCGCCATCTGAGTATTAAGTGGGGTATAATAGAAAATTTACTGCCAATTAACTGCCAATGAGGTGGGTCATAACAATATTTCACAGCATTATGAGGGGATCAGGCAAAATATTGATTAAAATCCTCTAACTCTGAAGCAAAGGGGTCGGACGATTTTGGTTTTGCCAAAATAAAATTATCATAATCCCCTCTCCCCTTCCAGGGCTCTACAATATTTTGAAATGATCTCCCTCAGTGGCCCGTCAATTTTCTATAGTTCTCCCTTTGTATCCTTTAGGACGACAGATCCGCCCTCCGTTCCCCCTGAAAACCGCGTGATCCTCCCAAAGTTCTCGCCCCCCCCTCTCCCCAGTCATGTCTGGTCTGTTGCCTAGATAATCAAACGGACTGAACCCTTGCACCCCTTTAAGTGAAGAAGAAGTAAATTCTCCTCACATCATCAAATTCTTCGGTAAAATCAAAATGTGATGAGTAATTACTAAACAACTAAACACCAGTTTTAGGTCGCTATCTCGCTCCAATTCTCTTAACGGGCCAGAGGAATTTTAAACAGTTAAGGTGGCTCGTACTAGTTTCCTCGCGCGGGAAACAGATCACTCTTGCGTCACGCGCGAGAGAAACGTGCGAAAGAAGCGCGAGATTAAAAGACGAAAATTT